GGAAGTGGACGTGGCTACCGATCTCTCGACGACCTCCCGGTTGAGATTTCATTTTTAGAGAACTCAAAGTTGCGTGACGAATCATTTTCCTTCTCATCTGCCACGTAGTTCGGTTTCCCTGACAATCGATCGCGGAAACGTCGAAACCCGATCTGCAGAACTCGAGTCACGTTACCAAAGCCACGCCTCGCGTTTCTGAGAGAGTGGACCGTCGACTCCTCTGACATAAATAGATTAATAGCTGGACGCGTCGCTGAGTCCGGGAGCTTATCCGGTGAGAGAATTACGGCATGCAATACAGTCAAGTCTTCCTAAGTTATAATTCTCGGGAGACCGATTTCGGAGAAAGTTATAAGTTATAAGTTAGCGAAGGCTCATGTTTTTTCCTGTTCTTCCCCTTCCAGCGATATTTTATTAATATTTCTATGGTGAAAGTCTATGTTATAAGTTATCGGAGCGCTGCTGGAAATTGGTTCAAATTATAACTTAGCGAGGGTTTTTAATTTAGGGCGGTTTCAATTCAGGAAGACTTGACTGTACGTGTTTTCCAAGGATTTCGTCACGGTCCCGGCTGGGAATCGTTCGGAGAAGCTTGAAGGACTTTCCAGGACCTGCCTCCGGGGAGCCGATGACTCCTTCATGTGATTCCAAGGTGATCACGTGTAATAGGAATGAGAGCGTGTCCAGCGGGAGGCACGGCGGAGCTCTCACCGCGGATATTGACGGACGGTCCGCTCATATATTGGGAAAGTGAATGATAGGTACCTGTGTATTTTTCATTAGACCATCGCGCCCGCGACCTCGGCAGAGCGAGTTCCAATGAACGCTCGGCAGTCTCACGTCGGCATTGGTTCCGGAGATCGAATGTTGAGTACGCCGAGGAGCATCGCTCCACGTGAAATAATTGGGCAAGCTACGCAGTATCTTTTTGGGGTCGAGCGGCTCGAGCACACATGAGGGAGAATTTCTCCGCTGGTACGACGCAAGCCGTCCGGCCCAAGGAACCACCGAGAAACATTCCTCTCGCGAAATGAATCTCTTGGGTCCCGAACCCCGGGAATATTTCCGGTCGGCTTCGGCATCTCGGTCTTGCGGGAAAACCTCTTTGTGTATCTCCATGGAACGTGCGCATGGTGGAGAGAACGTACGCAAAACGTGTCGTAAGCGAATTCCTCGGGTTGTGGTAACAAGCTTTTATCTGAATGACGCCGCGTGTCTTCAGGCGCCTGACGACGTCCTTGGCAGGAGCCGCGGTCGAATGATTCCGCGATCAGAACAATGAAGATTCAGTACCGAACAGCCGACCGACGACCTAACAAGCGCAGCAGCAGCCGGCCTAGTTGGCAATTGATAGCGATACACGTATTTTCCAATGGGGCTCCCTCCACAATCACAGCGGATTCGGTGTCCGGATCGTGGAGCGGTTGGTGGGATCACAGATGTGGGAGAGCTTCCCCGTGTTCGTTACCGGTTGCTCAGAGCTCCTTCTGTGCGGTCTGCCCCGTCTGTTCGCACGCGTCGTCCTCATCGACGTTCCGCGCTGGCGACGTGCCGCAACAACCGAGTATTCATAGCGGGGCGAGTTTTTCTGTCACATACTTTTGTCATTATCGGGACGTCCGCCACAATATGAGAGAACGTCTTCGGGGACGTTGACGGGAACGAAGCTGATCCCTGGGAGCAGTCACCGGGCTCCTGGTTCCCCTTCGTGGTCGATCTCAAGGAATTCCTCCGCGACTCCGATCGGGCACAGTCATTGAATTCGAACACGACGAGAACTCAGGCTCTTTTCCCGCATTGAGTGTTCGCATTTGCATCGTTCGCATATTCACCAAATCGAGTGCTACGCACCGTCTAGTCTACGTCAGCTCTCGTAATCGACACGGAGCAAAACGGAGCCGCTAACCGTTTTACCCTTGCGTGCGTGTCGATGAGATTCGAAGTGATCATTCAGTCGGCCCACACATTCTCAGGGCTATCGAAGCATGATCTAATCGTTCTCCCAGGAATCTTCTCTGCACATGCGATGCAGGAGATTCCTAGGAGAAAAAGAGTCTGCGGAGAACAGCTCCCGGTGTTCTAGCGGCACGGGCGATTCATCCGATTCCTGATGTCCGATTCCTCCCAGACCCCCACTCGATCAGACAACCGCTTCGCTCGCCTATTTTGCCGAAACCACGGAAAGGGAAACAACAGCCGCCGCGCATCAGAGCAGCCGCGGAATGCGCGAAAGCATCGGGGATAATATCATGGCTTCGCCCGTCAAGCTCCACTTCGTAAGTATTGTAATTACAGTGAGAGTCCGAATACGGGAGCAACTCACCGTTGGCGAGATGACAGGTGATTTCCCGCCACCGCCCCCTCGCTCGACTCCCACACTCAAAAGCAGAGCGTCGTCTCCGGCCTTATAAATTACAGCACGCCGGACCGCGCGCGAAAGAGCGTCGAGAGAACGGTCGCCGCCCTGCATTCTGACCGGACGGATGCAGATTCTTTCCCGTTCGCGCCCTCACGAACGTAGAGATAGTAGTCGTCGGGCAAGCAGCCTCTGACCCGTCGGCCCGGCAAGACGGAGAGGCTTGAACCCGCGCCTCGCTCCGAGTCAACCCGCTGATATATAGTTTGTCTAAGAAAAACTTTGTCCAGCCTTCTTCCCGAAACGGTGCCTGAGAAAGCGAGCCGGTTGAGGAGCAGTTGCCGGGAAAGATTCCTCTCTCTCGTGACGGCTCAATTCAATTAGATATCGCGCCGTGCTCATCGTCTGCTCGGGGGAGAAAAACTGTCTGAAAAAAGTCTGGTGTGAGTGACAAGCTTATATTAGTATACTCAGCGCTCGACTGACACTGGCACTTGCTCCGTAGCGGTCGCTCTCATCCATTCCGACTGTTGGGTAGGTCGTCCTCGGCCATAGAGATCTCTTGTCCTTGAGGTCTTCCCCACATTTGTCGATGCCGTCGGAAGGAGCAACTTTTCTCCTTGTTTACCCTTTCGAGAAGGCGGACGGAATATTTTGACTTGCCGACCTTTATCAGGCTTAAAGGCTGGAAGAGCTCCAGATCAGGCGTGCATTGGCTATGAATATGAATAAATAAATTATGAATGAATAAATAAATGAATTATGAATGAGGAAATGGAGGCACGGGGTCGGGGGGGGGGGTGAATCGGCCTCGATGAGGTCTATTCTGTAATACCCATTAGATACATACTCCCAGCGGATCTTGCTTCGGAATTCACGATAAACTCTTGTGCTTGTTTAGGTTTTCTGTTCGCGCCCCGCGGTATCTAGTCCTGAGTGTTTCTCCAATGCCGGCATCGGGATTCAGTCAGGAGGAGCTACTCATGCTTTTCGGATCGGCATGCGCGCGTTCCAATAGAGTACTATCAGTTGAACATCGTCATCGTATGCTTTATTATGATGTCACTTACAATCTTCCTTATCGCATATCAATTCGCATTATCTCCATATCCTGTCAACGAGCGCTAAATCGTAACCTCCTATTCGATCCCCTCACAGAGTCACCCGAGAATTCAGATCGAGTCGTGACCCCTCTCGACTTCGATCTGGCAACGCTCTTGTCTATAATATCCGATATCTCTACAATGGAACCGCTCTCCTCGCACGATCGAATCAGCATCATACATGTACATGTCCACATTCACTCCAGGTTGTTGTCGGGACCTCGCCACCGGTGGCTCGACACGTGAGCGAGACCTTGGACTTCACCGGAACTCTAAATACTAAAGAGGTACGCGCCGTTTCTTTTATTTTGTTTGGCACTTACTCAACAATTATTATCGAACGATATACCAATGACGAATATCGATCACTGATGAAATGCAACGAGCTCGTTCGGTAAATTGAAACAATGCGTCACCGATGCGGGACCTCGCGAACACGGGAGAACACTGAAGCACTTCTCCGACCGGAACTGCTCACCCTTGTGCGTAAAGATATGTTGTTAGCTGACTGACAGACAAACTGACTGACTGAGTTACAAACTAGAACGGCGCTCAGGACACCGCAGCAACGTTTTTGTTCGGTCCGCATCGCACGAAGCCTGTCCTCCGGAGCTTGTGTATTCAGGTTGTGCTTCGTACAGGTTGCGTCACAGTATGATGGATTTTTCATTTTTGCCAGTTTCACCATTGTCGGGACGACCATCTGCTGCTCACTTTCGAGGCTGACACAAACTTCTACGCCCCGAGACTCCTGCGGCTTTTGACTTCAACTTTCTCTTGTAACGATCACGTTTAGAAACTGCTCTCCCTTCTCAGCGGACCACGGGCCCAGCCAACCCAGCGATGGTGGCTCCTGCTTCCAGGCAGCCCGTACAGAGAGGAACCTTAGAAGAATATCCTTGTTCGGACTTCGTTGAGGCTTATCTCGGACTGTCCAACGGAACTCGGGGAGAAGAGCAGACACTTCCCTCTGGAGGCGACTGTAGTTTGTATTCAAACGGTTCCGATCACAATGCTCTATCTTTCATCGAGACTTCGTACCGAGCTATGCTCGTCCCCCTCCCCCCACACCCCCTGATGGAGACTGGTCCTCACAATGAAGTTCTTGTCCATGTCTCCAATGGGGAGCAGTCTGTGAAGTTCGGCGTTAAATTCGTCCTCCCTCGAAATCGTTCGATCCGGAGATGGAGAGAGCTTCGGAGCTATTATGCAGCCCGGAAGGTTGACGAGGGCTACTTCGTTCTACAATGATCATCAGATTTCCATTAGTCGAATCGATTCTTTCTCTTTCTCAGAAATAGTTGTGTTTGTTTGTATTTTCGCAGGGATTTTTTTTTCAGATTTTCCGTAGTTCCCGGCCGCGACCACGCAGTGAGCTGAACCAGAAGTACTAAAACTTTAGTAGCAAGGCAAGTGCAGAACTCCCGAGTGATTGAGCTGCGGGGCCCTCGACGATGACAACTTTGGCAACTTGATCCGCCAGCGGCCTCGTAGACTCGGGCTCATGAAGACGCGGAGCTGTCACTATCGTTGCTCTAGTGCTATTTAACAACGCGGTCTGATGTACCAGTCAAAAGTCGCTTGAAAGCTTTTCGGAATTCCGTGTTGAAAATCGTGTAGATGATTGGGTTGATGCACGAGTTGATGTAGCCAAGCCATGTAGTGAGCATGAACACGGTGACTCCGGGCTGGCACTCCTTGCAGCCGAGCTTGATGCAAATCGCGTCGATGACATTACAGGTGAAAAATGGGACCCAGCAGAATAAAAATACGCCTGGAAACGAAGCGGAGGGTGAGCTTTGGCGATAGCCATTCCCCATTCCTACAATCATTCGTGGTCCTGCTCATCAATGGTGAAATTCGCTTTCCTAGAACCATCGCTAGGCTCCGGGATCGGTAGGGAACGGAACGACGCGATGAAGGAATCGATTAGTCGATGTGCGCGATGACAATGCCGGCATCGATTTGTGAGTTCTGAATTGTGACGAACGAATACGGACGAGTGCTTCGTCTCAAGGCGACAGACAGGGCGGCGCATTTCTTCTCTCACAAGAGATCGACCGATGCTTGCCCCACACCCTGAAAGTTCGTCAGTGTTCTCGAAATGCATACCGCCCGAGCTCCCTCGTCATCGGAATACGTTCAGTTCATCCGGGCGAGGTCGGGGGTGAACTCACGAGAAAAGCGTTCTCTTACCCGACAAAAGTATGAGCTCATATATCAGTGGGGCGTCCAGCGGAAGAGTCGCCCCAACGACTGCCCTACTTATGGCCCATGACTGAATGCGCTGAATGCTCTTCTGGCGAGCCGCGTTCGAGCTTGCTCTCGGTCCTCCAAATGTAAATTGCACGATACAGTAAGGGCTGCGGAAGCAACAGCTACAACGCTCTTTTTGTCGTGCACAGCATACATGGAGTGATAAGGAGGTCTCTCCGTCGCAAACGATGCGCGAATGCACTTTTACGAATGTACATAATACCCACGTGTCGACACACGCATTCACCCGAAATGAAGCCGAATGCACAAGCAAAAGCCCAGAACGCCGTCGTGTCCCGCCGAGATTCTGCAGACATCGCTTCCGTCAGTAACAGCGTCGGATCGTTTTGCTCGAGAAAAATGTGGAGCATCTCCTCCCCCCTTCCCCCGAGGCCACTAGCTGATCCTTGTATGGACACCACCATTGGGATGTTCCGCGGTCGGACGACGAGAGATTATTATTTCTCATGCCATTGACCTCTTTCAGCTCATTAGTGTCCCGCGGCTCAGATTAATTATGAAGCTCTATAGACTTCCGGTGCTTGATTGAATTATTTTTCGACGTGACATCTATGAGACGGTCACTTCTGAGACCGGATCACCATAAATGAGACCTTGTTCTTGTGGCTGTCCCGCAAAACCCGACTAAGGAGGGGCAGCGTCCGCGACCCCGGGGTCATGATGAAAACAAGCGAGTCAGATCTACCTAATTAAATTCCTGTTGATACTCACCCAGCACGATCGCGAGAGTTTTTGTGGCCTTGCGCTCTCTTTTCGCGGAGACCTTCTCTCGTTTCCGACGACTGGACTTCTGTTTGTATCGAACTATGTTGAAACGCTGTTTCTTGACCAGTACAGCGCCAGAAGAGTCCTGCAACGATGGATTAAGATTTTGAGCTCGCTCGTTCAAGCGCGGGAACCGCTCGGATCGACTCTCCCAGCGCGGATACTGTCGCTCGAGACTTCGCGTCGTCGAGGGATCGTGGGAAGAACATCGATGGAAAGCTTCCGGAGCGGGAATGATTACGGGATAATTAGAAAAAACTCCGCCAGCGAGGTTTTATGACGAGCTGCTGGGGGCCTTTACATCCCCTGCAGGTGGGAGGGTCCACCGGGACTTTTCGAGACCACGAGGAAACCACTGTGCATGACAGAAGGGAATTAATCGTTCCCAAGCAACGCAGGAACGCTAAAGCTCCCCGGCGGTTCTCGGAGCCCGAGCTTCCTTGTGGTTTCGGAACACCGGAAGCGTGCCACATGCACGATCGAGCAGGCCAATAAGTTGGTTTCGGACTCCGAACGGAACTCCGATTGGAGGCAGCCTTCTCGGTGTCCGAGCTCTTAGCCTCGCGGCTGCCCGGCATGACACGGCTTCCAGTACGACTGCGAGCTTGCAATACCACGAACGACACTTGTCCACAATTCGCCGTCGACTCGCGTGCCTTTCGCCGTTCACTCTTCCGTGCACGCAGCGTCCGGGAAGGGCAAATACACGTAGGATACGGGGCGCTCGTGAGCACCGGAAACGGATTTCGTGGAATTAAAAATCCAGATGATTTTTTTCCGCTTTTGAACGACCGACGTGCGCGCTACGGACCTCGGTCGGAACACTGCATAATGGCTTTCCGAGACTCATCAGTGTCACGCCTTAACAATGACGTCGACGGGATCCCGTAGGAGACTTCTGATGGGGTGAAATTCAGAATGTTCAACATGCATGCTGGCTGGCCAGTCGAGAAGCCGGCGAAAACTCCCTCGAATGGCGGGACCGTGGCTGGCGAGCCATCAGCAAAAGACATCACTAAATTATAACGCTTGGGCCAATTTCCCTTTGTGTGCTTGTCAAAAGTCGTTTCTTTCTTCTCGTTGAAGTTTCCCGCCGTCGTAGTCGTTGAAGATCATCCCAATCCCGCGCGGTCCTCGTAAAGCACCACCGCACCATGCGGGTCTTTTTTTGTTCCGCGAAAGAGGCGCGCCGCCTCCCGAATCTTGTTGCTTTCGAGTCCAAGCCGGCTCGGGTAGGCGTTCCGCGACCGAAAAGCGTATCCCGCGTCCCCTTTGTTCAGCGAAGCACGGTCAGACTCGTCTGTGATTCAGCGGGAGGCCTCGTTTCAGGCTCATCGGGCTCGACAGCAATGAGCTCCGCCGGCAATAGAATGGCCATAGAAATAACGATGAATCCGATTGATCGCAATGTGCGCTGATTAATTGGCTGTGGGGGTTCTTCCACGTTACGGGATTCTCCTCTCCCTTCTCGTTTTTTTTCCCGCCGAGCTTTCGTCCTGTGTCTCTTTCCCGCAACGAATGTTCTATGCGATGTCGCAAAGCCTATCGTTCAAGCGAGACCAACCTTGTTGCTCTTAATCAGGTTGAGCGCGTTGGACTGGGCGTTATTGGCCTTAGCCGTCGAGATCTGGCTACCGTCGGGCGAACCGGCAAGGTTCGCGCTGACGGGACCGTTGCCATCTACTGTCTCAGCCTCGGGAGCTCCCTCCTGCAAGCAAAATTTTCTCGGTTGGTGCGGCTCGTCCAAACAGACATAGTTCTCGACTCCCGCGGATGATTCTCAGTTTGTTGCCGAGGAAATCCACTGCGTCCGCCCGACGAGGGATCCCGCCACGAACGAACTCGGTCCCTTTCGTGTTTTCCTCCCGAGCCCTCCGTGCTCATCAGCTCTACGCTCTGCGAGAACATGCTTTTCTGCTGCTAGCCCGCAAGAGCTCCATATCCTATTTGCAGTTGACCTGAAAGTAGCCTGCAGCTGACTTGTAAACGGCTGAAAGTGGACGGAACGCACACACAGCGGGAATCAGCCTCCTACAGCTGTTCCTCGGGCCGTGGGCTCCTATCTCCGTTCCCAAGCCTCTCGGCCGGATCGACTCCGCTCTGCAGATAGGTCCGACGATGAGACTTACGGACGGTTAGGTGATTTTCGCCGTCGACCCGTCCAGTATCCAGCTGTATGATACGCTCAGAATACGCACGTCCCGTAGTCGAATGCATGAATTCGGGCAGAACTTCGTAAGCGGCGCTCTTCAAACGCAACCACGCAAGAACAGTACATTAGCGGCGGCTAACACATAGAACCTACGAATGCTGTTTGCATGCTGGTGCAGTTCGGCTAACGAGATTGCTGCTTGGTTCCAGATAGATAGAGAGAACAGTAGACGAATGAATCGTTGCGCCCGGGGAATGGAGCTCGGCGCAGTCTTGTGCGTGGAGGAGATTTTTCGCCGGCACAGAGAGGTTTTTCGGTGGCACTTCGTCACCGTCTTGATTCTTCGTCGGAGACAATCTCATTGTCTTCGCGTGCATCCGATGCTGCAGTCGAACGTGGCGTGCCTCCTTCCCTCAATAAGCGTTAGACTTTCCCTGCAGCAGACTGGATTTCGCTCTCCGTCGCGTGACAATTCGAGAATTGCGTATATAGCTCGAGGAGCGTTTCCTCCTTCAATCAGACTTCACGGCACGCGAAAAGAGCGCGTGCCTTATCCAGATCGAGGGTCGGAGCGGGTTCGAGGAAAACCGCTGACTGCGCAGCCCGCGTACCGCGGAAACTGTTTCTCAAGAATATCACGCGGCGTTTTGTCTGGAGAATCTATCCCCGCTGCAACAATGCCGCTCCCCGCACTCGGAAGCGATTCGATACCCGGAGTGATGATCGTTGTCGTAGGGACATTCGGTCGCAGACACGAAGCCGCACGTCGTGAGTGATACCGATGCAAATCGGGGCGAATCCCCGAGCTCTATTCGTTGTCAGAGCCCGAGGGACCGAAGAGCAGATCAACTCTCTGGGACTCAGGACCCGCACTTCTAGCCATCAGCTCCCTGGAAGCTTGTTCCGAGGTTAACGATTGACCACTGAATGGATTTGGGGATTACTTTCTCTATCAGGGTGAATTCTACGGGCTGCCGACACTGACCAAGGTAGTCGTAGTAGTGGTTTCTTCTCTCTCCGGGTGGAAGCTTCCAGCTTAGGTCTTATTCGTTCCTGTGTTTTGGTAACAGGAGAGCCCTGACAGTACTCACGTCCTCTGATCATGAGGGCGCAAGTATCGATAGTAAGCCGTAATAGATTGACCCCATGAGCCGGCAGGGAAGCGAACAGTCTTGAGAGCCGCTTCACTTCCAGGCCGCCGGAGGCGGCCTATTTACAGCGTGAGCAGACCTGTTCCCGCATGGACCGCGAGCCGTCTGAGAGACCGTCGTGCATCTCATCCATGGGCCGTGTACCTCTGCTGGATCTCGAAGGGGCTCACAGCCCGCAGGCGAAGGGGGCCCGGATGAAGAAACTTGATGATGAGCTTTTGGTTACACCCGGTGATTCGACAAGGGATGACTTCAAGCTTACTCCCCTACGTGTGGGCTCTGTTTTCCCGACACAGCTCACCGAGAATGGGAAGCTTTTCAAAAGACCGACTGCTCGTTAGGCGGAAGTCGAGTACTCCGCCGCGACGAGTGCTCTTGGCAGCGGACGAGAGTCGCATTGATGACTTAGTCCGCCACCAGCAAATCCGATAATTGATTTCAACAGCCGGAAAACAAAGCGTGTTCGTCGAACGGCTGACAGATCCATGACTTCACTCGCAGCAGTCAGAATGAGGGCCGCGAAACGGCCTTGACGCTCGGACGAGTTATTTCCCAATACGGCGCTGATCCGAGTTGTTTTCGTTGTCCCCTTCGACGACGCTGGTGTTCGTCTTCTCGATGACGTAGCCGGGATCGGTCAACGTTGTCACCGACGTTGCATGCGACGGCCGTGGTAATAACAATGGAGCTCATAAAATCAAAGCTTGCTCTCACTGTATAGCCACGACCACTCGTATATTACATTTGAGTAACTGAGCCGGCCTGTGAGAGAAAGAGGGAGCGGGCTAGAGAGCGGCTATGTATATCTTTCTTGACTATATGGTCCCACACGGAGGAGCCACGTTTTATTGCGAGTCATAGTCGGACGTTTCTGCTGCATCGGGGACGACAAGCTGAGCCCGCGATCGCTGCTGAGCTTTCCGGAAGCGTTTTCAAATGGAAAGCTGTTCCTGTGATGGTCAGCTGGTAGATCCGAGAATACGTTGAGCGCTATTTATCCAATTCAGCGTAACTCAATATTTACACCAATGATAAGAATAATAAGCTGTTCCTGACAGTTCCGGGCAAACCGTCGTCGAGGCATCGAGCCATCCACTGCCGGTGCATTCCCCCGCTGGACCTCGATCGCTTATCACCAAGGGATTTTATTCCTCTCCATTTCCTCAGGCATCCATATTCCTCAATTCCTAATGTCTTGTACGTAATAAGTAGTTTATGTCGATTATTGGTGATTAGTGATTATGTACTCTTACATCTACGCGCAAGCCTGGATTTAAGACTGTCGTGATTATTTCTCTATTTCTGTCTCCGTGACCTCCACCGTATTGCGTGTTGTCTCTCCATCTGCTAATTAAGCTCCTCCGAATCGTTGCTCGCAGAACTTGTCACGTAACTTCCACTGTGCGGTGGGAAGCACGGCACAGCGAGGCTCCGAGGCTTTTCCGATCCTGACGAGCGATGCAATTTCAATGGAATCCGAGCCGGAGCGCAGCATGATGAATTCCTGATGAGGGATTTCTCCACAAATCGTTCCCGGATGAGATTCCGAAGACCGAGATCCCGTCTTCGATACCGATGAGTTCTTGTCGGAACCAATGACTTTCATTCGATAGATCGAAGAGCTCTCGGGAGTTCGCTTTTTCAGCAAGAACATCGGTGATAGAGTCACTTTTTCAAAGTATCGCCGTGCCGCGTTGCAGGAAGGGTTTTGCACGAACGCTTTCATTCGGAGGCAGCAGGATCCGGACGTTTTTTCTTTCCAGAGACACGACGACATGCGCATCTGATCGGTAGGAAGGCGAGCTCAATGCCCTGATTCCCTCCCGCTGATCGCGGTGAATGACCAGAGTTTTTTTGGGTACTTGACATCCGCTCGATGGGCAACATCCTTGAAGAACATCGCAACGAGGAACACCGCACCCCCTCCCCCACCCCGTGCAGAAAGCCCGACTTGTGAGGAGTGCTTCAATGGCGAGCGTCGCGTCGTTTGCGAAAGTTCCGTTCGAGTGGCACTGCCGAGCGGCAACGACACGAATATCTCGTCATAGATAAGGACGACCTTGGACGAATCGGGGTTAGTCGGGAAGACTTCGTTTCGGGAGGATAGGTCCCGGGCTGATCGGCAACTGCGCCTTATTGGAGAGTTCCTCTAACAGATTCTGTCTGTATGTACCAGCTCTCCCCGGATGAGCGCAAGGAAGACACTACGGCATCGATGACGTTTAAATTCCGCCCATCTGACCCGCGAAGAGAATGGAGAATTACAATATGCTCAGAGTTGTGGTCGTCGAAGAAGAGCACAATGGTGATTCTCCCAAGTTCATATTATCCCTCACCGACAATCGTCCTATCTACATCCTGATAGAGGCTGCTGAACGACGGAGTTCGGGACGATCAAGACGGAGAGTCGCGGGAGATCATCAGGACGAAAACTCGTCGCTCAGCTCATTCGTCATACGCGGATGCGGCATTGGTCGAATCGAACTCCATGGGATGTCCATTAACGGATCTAAACGGACTGGAGTCCACCAAACATGAGCTTTCATCGGAGCTCGATATTTTATCGCTTGATGAGATCTCGGTCCACCTCCGTGGACAGCGACGCCTGTGTTACTTATTTCGTCTCGTAGATATGTACATACTTATATTTACGCGATGACGGCCCGATGTCCGATGTTTGTAGAAGTTGTTGTTACTTGCTCTTTGTACCGACGTAGCGACCATCCGGCGACTTGAGATCGAACGTCACACGCCAAAAAGACAGTCTCAAGGTAATTGTGCTCTTTGTCTCCTTTTATGGCGGGTAAGCAGAAGACTGAGCGGGCCGACGAATATGCTTCGCAGGAGTCGCCGGGATATAGCGGGAGATATCCTTAGCCAAACGGGTCCTTTCGGGCATCGCACGTCCACATCGACGAATAACTCTGCCATGGATATACTACCTCAGTCTGACGAAGCGGAAGTGTCTGCGGAATTCCCTGCTCTATCTGACGGCATATCTTCCCCCCTATCAATCCTGACCTACGCGAAGGTCGCCGAGCTTCGACTGATCGGCTCATCTGGTGATGAATATTCATCCGGGGATTCGAGAATCGATAACACTGATCTCGTACGGAAGTGTCTTCGCTTATTCCCAGCCCTTGTAGACGCTCAGAGCTCCAGTCCTCCTAGCGACCTGCCCGTGAGTGTTCGCTAGGTCGAGCTCACTGAGCTGAATGGGAGTAGAATACATGATGCGAAAGAAGCAATATTCGTATCGACATGGGAGCCGATGATAAGCTCCGAGAGTTTCCGGGTTTGATCTCTTGAGGGGTCAAGTATCTCGGCTTGGCGGTGGATTGCTCGACTCGATGGCTGACGCTAGTTCCAGGCTAACAGCTCTCCTCTAAGCTTTGCTCATTGAAGATGACGGTCCCTCCGTCCCGGGGACTGATCCACAGGCTAAATTTGTTCGGGGAGGAGCTGAGTCCCTCTGCTCCTTGCTTTGGTAAGCGACGGCGGCTGCTGCTGCTGCTGCTACAGCCTTCCTCTTGTGCAGAGTCCGCAACTCTTCGAGAGCTCCCTCTGCCCGAATATGATTCAGGTCCGTCGAATGCGGCATCTGTTTCTACTAGATCCCAGAGCCATGCATTTTTCACTAGACGACTCAGCATCGTTTCTCTCAGGAAGGCCTTCGGAGCGTTATAAGTGCGTCCGAAGTTTCGCTTCAGGATCGATACGCGCTACGCAAATTATATCGCAGACGAAGCATCCATGCAACACCTCTGGAGGGAATGATTCCGGGGAGGAAACTACGCCAGGGAACACCCTCGGATATCGTACTTGCCTGAGAATCGCTTTCGGTAACGGTAGGCTCTTGGTTCTGTGGGTTCCCGACGTCATTTGAGGCATTGAGTGGTTCGGGAGTCGTGGCTGCGGCTACGCGAGCACCTTTTCCTGGGAACAAGAAGAATCGCCTTGAGTCAGATGGTCTCTCCGGAGAACTCTCAGGATAGAATATCATCCCTCCAAATAATTGTCCGGTCCGGAGCGGTGGTCGGCGGTGGCGAATCTTGGCTGATTTGGTCAGAGGAGTTCGATGATGACCCTGCACGGGGATTCATTCCGGTACGGGATGCTATAGCCGAATCTGTATCGGATTGATCTTTCTTTTCCATTATATCCGACCCACGTCCTCGTGTCTGACCCAGATGAGGTTGTAAGTCGATTCGAGGGAGAATTTCCACGGACTGCCCGGAGGTCGAGGAAGAACTGCGAGAGCTTCCCTAAACGTTCGATCCACGAAATTTCGCACTATGCGGGAATCATGCTCCCAGAGCTCAAGAATCTCCACTACGATCGAAAATCAAGAGGTCTTGTGCCAAACACGATCCCGTGCGAATTTCCGAAAGGTGAGGTTTGCGCCTCGCGAATCATGCGGTCCGGAAATTCATGTGGGGAACTCTTCCGAAGCGACCGGTTAGGCTGACTGAAACCGCACTCGACGGCTCACAGCCATCCGAGGACATGAGTGAGTAAGTTTCGCGCCAACTGAGTGTCATGATAGACCAGAGCCGACATCCACTGGAAATCGACCCCTCTCGTCGATGATGAGGCTCTGACTCTCGACTGCCTACTCAGTGGGATGTTCATGAGCGCTTCATCAGCATTATCGTCCCGGAGCAGCGCCAGGTCTGTCACAGGGCACATGACCCTGCCTGTCCGTCGTCATTCCGCTAATAGTTCAATGGCGCCATCGAAAGTCTGTCGGTGAACTTTTCGAACTTTCGACTGTCAGCAACAATTGCAAGGACGATAATTCGCAATAATTGAGAACTTAATCGTCGAGAACCCACCTTCCATCTGGATAGCGGACGGCGGATTAACGTTTTGAGCCTGCGCGGCGGCCTTCTGCTGACTTCGGCTGTGGATGACTGCAAAGAGAGGAGAATGGAGAACGTCAGGTTGGGAATTCAATTCCGCGCAGCCGAATATTTCGCCCTCCGACTTCCCGAATATGCGCGGTCAGATTATTAATTCATCGACTGATCCATCATTCACTGAAATGTTCACAAAGATCGTGGTTATATTTTTGCAGGATCTCCTCGCAAGTCCCCTCTCCCTTTCGTCGTCCATCTGTTCTCGGCTCATCCACTGATGTGAGAGTTCCAGGACCACGAGAAGGCGGTCGAGTAGGCTGGCGGACAAGTTCCGAGCCGAGAATCCACTTCCTTGAGAACTCGATGACGTGAAGGGAGAACATCTCCAGAGCCCGCGCCCGCACGGCTGAGCTCTGATGATCGATCGAGAAGCGAGCGATCGGCAAGCGATGCACCACGGAGCCTTTCACCAGGTATGTCATTTGCATATTTCCATGCGTGAAATATTCACTGGCTCATATGCCGCTCATGGGTGTTAATTATCCATCAGCTGGAAAAAGTTGTGATCACTTACCCTTGAATATGCGATAATACAGCAATATCATCACTAAGCACGGAATGTAGAACGATGTCAACGAGCTGTACAAAATGAAGTCAGAATTGTAGAATACGCACAAGTGGGGAACACGCTCCGATGAGGTGTTCAACCCGAGGATGATGGGGGTGCCTGCAAAGGAACGATCATCATCGGAGACTCTTCTCGGTTCCTGATTTTCGCAGGGAATTCCAATTCGTCGCGATTTCCGTGAGCTTCACTGCAGCAGAGCCCTGTGGTAGGTCGCATGTCTCCTTCAGTATTAATAGCTGTTCCGGAGCGGCCAACGAAAGCGGCGCGGCGGCGTAGCGAGCGTAGACAACAAGACCACAAGAGAAAAAAGAAAAACAGGGCGAGCGGTGAACACTCGAGACGAGCTAATCTCCATGAATATTCAAATAAACACGACCAAGACGACCTCGAAGGGCAGTATAACCCGCGCAGTTCCTTCCACGAGGCTCGCACGCACTGCCGTCCGACCGACCGACCGACCGACCGACGCGACGTCGCGGGCGCCGTGTAGAACAGGCTACTCTCTGAGCACTTTACAAGGGAGTAGACGGCAGCGGAAGTGGAGCAGCGGGAAGGAAGAGTGACACGATCCTGACATCGCGGTAATGGAGATGGGGAACTTCGCCGGATATCGTGCGAAAAAGGAGCGAACTGGAAACAATTGACAGCAGAAATCGAGGACGACTTGATACGTCACTTACTCGTTGTGACAGCGTCCGGGAGAGCCGGAGAAAAAATTGAATTCAGCCATACCGACTGCTTGCGAAATCAGTAGGGATCTCTAGTCAGGAGCACTGGACTTCTGAGAGCTACCCCGCACGAGCGAGACCTTTGTGAAACGAGCCGGAGATAAGGTGCGCTGAGCGACGTCAAATCGAAAAAATCTCGTTTGACTTCTTTCTCTCTTCCCGCTCGCCCGAATACCGTATCCATCTCATTAAGTAACCGGCTAGCAACTTGTTGGAAATTCGGAGGAAGTTTCGGGCACGACTCTGCGCGGGTTTGCCGCAACTTAGGGAAGTCTTCCACGCCACACAAGGCCTCGATTTTTCATCGTTCGCGACTCGGCGGGAGCCTAAGCGAAGTTGTCTCTGTCGGAAAGAGAGTCGTTTCGCGAACTCCGATGTTCGAGTAATTGTCCTTCGTCTCCAGGGACTTACGTGGGACGGAATCGCGAGTTTAGTTTGAACTCGAAGTTTTCCCAGCGAATGGAGATCACCGCCAGGAACACCCGAGACCTTGTAAATTCCTTCACCAGGTACAAGCTTCACCAGACATCGAGTACGCGATTCTTTTTCCTTTTTCTCGAGATGAGTCGAGACATATATGTACATACATATATCGTCACTCGATCGTTGCGGTATCGATCAATCGATCGATCGATCGACTCCGCCTCGGCGTCGCAAGTCTTGCCGGCTGCGGCTTGTGATTCTCATGAGTTCCTACGAGGAGCTTTCATGTGCTTGATGAAATTGATTGCTGGAACCATCCAGTAGGGACCCCAAAGAGGAAAGAGTCAGTAAACATTTACTCACCAATCGCCATCGAAATGACCCAGACAGCGGCGATTGTAATTGCGACACGGAATGAGTTCTTATGCTTAGAATACTTGATCGGTTGAGTAACGGCGATGAACCTGTAATTTGACGGAGCGTTCGCATGATAGCCTCTGTACGGGACTGTCTACGCTCATCTAGCTCACAGACACTCATCTGCATATACGCGTATAAGTGGCTGCAGCCGGACATACGTTAGATGTAACACACATACACGCACACCGCAGGCCCCGCTATGTCGACGTGAATAGTTCAAAAGACTGAATACTAAAGCGATGCACTTTCGAATTCACCACGCGGCGGACAACAGTCGGATTGTTGTCAGAGGAGTTCCCCGGAATCGGGAGGGATCTCCTCCTCCGCCTCCTGACGGCATCAGTTCGGTAGTTCTGTGATCCCTTTCTGCCGGCAGTCGGCCACGACAGATAACCCGAGTACGGAAGGCAATCGCATTAATGAATAATGGATGGAGCGATGGCCACACTTGCTTAGCGGCAGTGGCTATATAGGTAGCTCATTTCTTGTGGCGACTGCAGCCTCGGGGCGAACTCTGGGCCTTTGGGCTTGATTCGATCCGAGCTGGCTTTGAGAGTCGCAATTGTCTGCACCCTCTGAGCAGACATTCGGTGAGGCGAGCTCACTCACAAAAAAACACATCCACACACGAGCTCGACGTCACGGCGCAGATTACCTACAGCGAGGCTCACAGCCAGACCGATGGATCGAGTCGCGAATTGCGAGGCTTACCTGTCTATGGAAATGGCAACGAGGTTGAAAATTGAAGCCGTCGAGCAAGTAACGTCAATGGCAATGTAGAGGTCGCACAACGTTTCACTCAGTTCCCAGCGAACATTCACCTGAAGTCGGATGGAGATCAGTTACTAAAATAGGTCGCTGATTCCTGGAAAAATTCTGAGGGCGAATCCATGCAGCAGGAAACGACCATCATGAGTTTCCCCAATAACCCTCTGATATTGGTCCGCAGTATCGTAGTCGGTACAAGTTCGAATATCTTTCAATGATCATGGAGGAATCGATTTGATATCATTAAAATATTTCGATTCGATACGAAATTTATTTTTGCGCCCTAGGCGTACACATCGTGCGGCGACGATGATCAGTTCCTGAATTGGAGGGGAGGAGATCCATACTCAGGACGTATGGCCGTGATATTCGGGGCCAGTGGAGAAACGTGATTGAAACGATTCGCGGCAGAACACATCAGTCTTCATTCAGCCTCCGCTTCAACAGTCGTCCGCGCTTCTCTCAGCTAATGGATCTTTGTGCTACAGCAGAGGAGGGCGTTTTCAATGCCATGGAAGTGTTGACCTTCGTGTCGAGAACTCTTCCGCAAAATAAGTCTTTTCCATGTTGCTGCAGTACTTGCCGAAGGAATTATACGTTATCGAATCTGAGTTCTGCTCCGACGGACCTCATGAACACCTTAGTGGCTCAGTCAGCTCATCGAGGAATAGCGGGGATCAGCTCTCGATGGTGCTCTGTGCTCTGCGGAGCCGTTCTCCTTCACGTGGAATCCTACCCTATCCTGTGGCGAATTATTCCTTCCACCTTATTTCAGCGGTCGGAAATTCCTGAACAGTAAACCCGCTGAAAATCCTTCATTTCTCTATCATGCGACCGCGTCAAGGACGATGATTGATTCGTGTACCGAGAATGGACTTTGAGGGAGAACAACAATCGTATCTGTCTTCGCTCAGTCTATCTGCAAGCCGAGAACAAGAGGACGCTGTTTTCATTAGTGTGCTCTCGCTTTGCGGCAGGCTAATAATTTCCTCTTCTGAGATTATTGTCATCTCCTGAAACGAAGGAGGGGCTCGTACGCGCTGCGATCCCGCGGACGCGCTGACGTTCGCTCGTCTGTCTGGATAGAAGCTAATCGATCCCTGATGAATCTTTTCTCTAATAGGCTTTTAACGATATCGATAACGCACGGATGAACTCAGTAATAGAATATGAGAGTTTTTCGAACGGCGACGAAAATCCGGTCCCCGCAGCAAGAGTAGACGACAGTTGGAGCGGGATCACGCCCGGGACTCAAGACGCTCTACAGCACAGTCTACAGTGACACTGTTCGCCGGAAACGCTATCTTGTTCCACGAAAAGATTTTAACGACTTGCCCCGAGTCCCACTCAGTAAAATGAATAGCTACACTCGAAAGAGATCCCTGAGCTTTCCTCTTCGTCAGGTATCTTGTCCGATCCTCTCGGAAAGAGGGTGTCCCATGCCCAAATGCTTCCTTATGTCCGATTCTTGAGTTATTTACCAGAAAACTTACCAACACGTAGACAGCAAACGGCATAACCACGGCCGCCACCAGCAAATCAGCGAAGGCCAGCGAGACGATGAAATAGTTTGTGGCACTTTTGAGGGTTTTTTCTTTGTAGACGGCTAGGATGATGAGAATGTTTCCGAAAACAGCCAGAACTGCAAAAATAGACGACGCACGGATTAGCGATTGCGTGCTGTGCAGCGACCTCGGTTTGCTGACTAATTTATCATTCTGGGTCCTAGCCGCTTTTATATGGATGTCGTTCACAAGGGGTATTCTCGGATCGCCAGTTCGAACGATTCCGCCCACGAAGGAACGTTCGCTCCGCGGATACAGTCCAGGACAGACCGGTCTTGCCGGTCGGCCATCCTATGAGCTCTGGCCGTCTCGCAAACTCGGAGACCTCGACCGAAAATAATTGTAATTCATCAGGGGCTTTTCAATTGCGGTGAGCACCGATACTCTTCCGTCTAAATAGCTCCTCCCCCAATGTCATTCTCAGAGCTCTCAGGACTCTATGTCGATCCACTCCGATGGCTGGGAGCAATTTCCGTCAAGTAACTCTCAAGGGCATAAATTATACTCGGATTCCTATCTAGTTGAGCCATGAACAAGATGGCTCAAGCATGAAGCACTTGGGGATCGCAGCGCTGTAGCGCAGCTCCGAATAACAGACCCGGCGCTCAGTCGGCCCAGACCAAGGCTAAGGTCTGCTACGGTCTTCTCTGCACTGACGCAAATTCACGAGAAGCGACGCTCTCTGCGGCATCTGGAATATCGAGAAGTCTCCGGAGTGGCTCCTGGGGTCTCCTGCAATCTGTTCGGTCAATTATGTAGAACGGACTCTCGGCATCTTAGAAGTTATCCGGGACGACTCGATTTGTGCGAAGTCTGGCTCCGCATAATCAGGATACGTGAGCAGATAGCAACTCCAGGAACCCGTGGGAGACGTCTGGATATCCAGCTGCGAGAATAGGATCGCAAACTCGCCAACGGACATTATCTGTTCGGAGGATCGCCTCCAAGACCAGCTCGTCGAGATCTCCTAGGTCTGATTCTCTCGGAGACATGGAGCTAGCCGAGCTCGAAGCGTCTCGACTTCTTGAGTCCGAGCTCCCAACTCGAGGAAAGTCAACAAGACCTAGATGAGTGTATCGTGAATGTACGGTCTGCCGGAACGTGCGGCCCCATTCTCCAGTGATGTGTCGTTTCTATCGATGTGAGCACGGAGATCAATCGTTCCGCGGAGAAAGCCGCTTTGAAGGGAATCCGGGACCCCCAAAGGGTCTTGAGGAGCCCCTTTCCGGAATCCCTGAACTGGAACAGCGCATTTCCATGGCGGGGCTTGGCTAATCCATGACAATGCCTGACTTGGAGCTGACTGCACCGGAGTGCTTCATTGATTGATCGGGAGGGGGACATTGTCGAAGCCTCTCAACTCTGAGCCTTATCACTGAACTTGTTTGCATGCATATTAGAAGGCGTACTTTGTATGCATATCAGAGGTCGTAGTCCAAGCTGGGCTGCATCTCGAAGGGTAAATTCATGAACGCAGGATTAAAACAGCGTGATCTTTCCCTTACAACCTTATCGAATGCGGTAGTGGATGACCGGCGAAGTATCCCTTCGGATACAAGGGGCTTAAGGCGCGGAGAGACTTATCGCGGACAGCGCTCGGTTCGTATTACATGCCAAGCAGTTGTAGTTTCCAGGTGAACCCTAAGCTCCCACTGCGGGGCCGATCCCGCTATCACAGAGCGCGCATCCCCCAGACGTAGTGCGCCCACTCCGGTGGATTTTCGGCTTTTTAGGGACCTTGGCCGATTCGACTTCGTTCCTTGTCGCAGATCATCTTGCATCGAATGGACTTCTCGTGGCTTTGCGGGGCGCCTGGGTTTTCGAAGCTTATTTCTGAATCCAAGTCTTTCTCATTCCATTTAGTTCCCCCCTGCTTTCTGGGCTGTGTTGTTGAAGGAATCGTCCCAATGCGGCAGAGCGATGCTGACGTCAATGAAACTGCCGTCCTAACGAAGATTGGCACAGAATATCGATGAGGTCCCGGATATGCCGGGAGTCTCCGACTACATGATCATTAATGTCATTCTTTTCGAAATCGCAGTCTGCTAGCAAGAGCGATATTCTTCTAGCGACTTCACGACTATCGGCGCGATCGATTCCTTGCAAGACAATAGGATTAAACGACATAATGTATCAGGTGCTATCGCGGGTTTTCGAGAATCTAAGAGCTCAATAATTGCTTATGACGCGGGAAGATCTCAGTCCTCGACCGCCTTTGTCGGCGGTCAATTTTGTCTCTCTTGGATTTCACGTCGGGATTGACCAATCACGAATCTCTTCCCCCGCAGTGACCGCGGTCCTCCACCTCAGAAACAAGATATCCGCGACAGAGCTCAGAGGAGCCCATGGAACTTCGCTTTTGTCGCTAAGCGAGCGTCGTGCTTCCCACGCGACGCCTCCGCGACCAATCTGATTGAACTTATGGGAATATTTGTATCAACTCAGATTCAGGAGTGGGAGTTGCTTAGCAGGCAGCGAGGGACCTTATACGACTCCCTCCCCGAGCTCGACGATGATTGGAGAGTTTCAAAGTCCATAACTTCGCCTGGGTATTTCCTCTTTTGACTCGCGGACTGCTTCCAGACCCCGATTCGGCGAACAGCTATATCGTCGACCAAGGGAGATTATTCCATTCATTCGACAGCTCTTCTATCTGGATCGTCTCCCCGCTGAAACCTGAGACAGAATTATTGTCTCACTAGCGAAGAGTGTGATTTTCCATCGCATCGGCTCGGGTGTCTCAGATGGGTGCGTTCCTTGATATTTTCATTATTTTTCCTGAGATACATCGCTCCGGATCCTCGTACCGATCAGCCCCCAAGCCTTCGTTCACTCCGTTTCATTTCAATCATCCCTCAGCCGTCTCATCTTCTGTATCAATCTTGTTGTTATGTTAACGATATTTTCCCTCTGCTGAGAACGCCGTTCCTCTCCGAGCTCGACGGATCAAGTTTGTTTTGGAAGAGATAGGGTTTCAACCAATTCCATGGGCTGAGGAACTCAATTCCAATCGAGGAGTTTTCTCGATTCACTCGGAACCCCCTCGAGACGTTATGGGAGATACATTATCAGAGGAGGGAGAGACCTCAGCCCCTAGGAGACAACTGTCACCGGAATGGAGAAAGCCTATACAACCACACAATAAGAATGCGATGGAAGCTTCTGACGTGGCCACGAAGCACAGACTCCGGGAGCCTCCGTCGGAGATATGAGGGGCGAAAATCGAAGGTGGAAAGAGCGGCCGCGTAGCGTGAAGATGTTCTGAGAGCGTTTGCGCATACATCCCGAGCCAGGCCATTCCCCATTTCTTCTCTGACTACAATACCAAGCTGCAAGGGAGCGCGGAGGCTTTTTTTATTAGTAGAAAAATCGCGTTTTCCGCAACATTGGGGAACGGGGCCGCAGACTGGGTTCTTCTGTTTGTGGATCTATCGAGCCCATGAGGGATGTGCTATTCGATCTAGACTCATGCTCTCGCACTCAAAATACTTCCCCCTCCATATTCGCGGCTCTCGAACACAAATCAGCGCGAGGTCCTCCGCTTGTCCTGTACCGGATCGTAGTCAATTTCTGTCCGGAGTCCGGGAGTGTGGACCTCGATTCCTCGACACTCCGGAGTCTTTCCTTCTTCCGCATGAGCTAATGACGCGTCGTACATGTGTACGAGCAACCGCTACAGTGTTCGTCTTACTCGGGATTCTCATTGTATTGAGAATTTCTGTGGATCCGCTCGGACTTATACGGGTGTTGGTCTCTGAACGTTCCGTTTGCTGATTCGGCAATGTCTTACAGCAGTTCAGAGCAAAGAAGCGGACTTCCGCCAAAGATATCGAGCGTGGCAGTCGCTGCTGGAGCTGCACAAAGTCATGGTTTTGCTCCGAGTATCAGGAATCAGGGTAAATAAAGAGTTTGCGGAGCCCCCGAGGCTGGCGCCGTAATTCTACGAGTCGATATATCTTCCGTCGGTAATTTCCCGCATAGATTTAATCATCCTCATGTTTGCGAAGGAGTGCGAAATGAGCTCAATCTTCCTTCGGATAGGTCCAGGCTCGCTGCAGAGCGATAGAGAGGGCCGGTGGCATGTCTGTCTGTGCTCCTTTTTGTTTCCTATAGACTCCCAATCGCCGTGAAAATTCAAGGGTGGGTTCTTGGGTGCTGTCAGAGGATTATACGGGGATCGTCGTTCTTCCTTGGAGCAGTTAATTTAGACCCAGAAAATCGAACATTTGGAAAGAATGAGGGGAGCGGGAATTCGCGAAATTCGTCATCGGGGGAACGGAGAAATGAAGAAGCGGGAGAAAGAGGAGCAAAAAACGAGAAGAGTGTAGAGCGGGGAAGTGGGAGCAGGGGGTTGGCGGGGAAGCGGGAAATGGGGATGGCGGGGAAGTGAGCAATGGGGAGAAAAGGCGATCGGGGGAAGGAAGGCCAGTGAAGCGAGGAACGGGGAAGCGGGAGAAGGGAGAACGTAGAAGAAATGGAACAGGAGAGACAGGAAGCGGGTCTCACAGATTATAGATTTCCCGGGGACATATGGAATAAAAACGGGAAAACTGAGGAAACGATACACGGGAATGAGGCCGGGGGAACGCGGAAACAGGTAGTCGGGGCAGGAAGGAGGGGGGATAGGAAAACGGTGGAAGTTGGAAGACGAGAGGGTAAGGGGCTCGGGAAATCTAGGGAACAAGAGAACTGAAAAACCGGAGAGAAGGAATACTGGTCGACGGGGAAATCGGAAAGTGCGGGAACCCGAGGATCACGGGGAGTACAGGGAGAAAATAGCGAGAGGGAAAACAGGAAATGGATATTACGAGAGAAGGGAGGATGACAAAAACGAACAGCAAGCCGACTCATGGCAAGCACACTCATAACGAGCGCAAGCGTTTGTGTAGAGAGGCTGGTGTCTCCGGGAACGCTGGTACCTAATAAATTTCACCTAGATGGCCACGATGCTTTCTCTTTGTGTTTCCGAGGGTCGGAATTCGGACATGACTCCAGAAAAACGGGTCCCATCTCGATACAGTCCGATCGCGGGATCCCCAGCGCGCCTGTACCGAGACCTGCATTTTACACCCAGCAC